ATTTGGCATTTGGTGACCTTGCCTTCAAGGAGCTGGAAATTAGGAATTAAAGTTATGCTCTTCATACAACACACACACACACACACACACACACACACACACTCCTTTCTAAGCTCCCAAGGTATTCCAGTACCCCAAGGTATTTCCAATAGGAAAAAGTAGACTCTTCCTACTTGACCCCTCTGTTTAAAGTTTTTTCCCCCAAAATGAGAAGAAATTTTGTTTCTGGGTTGAAATGAAATGCTTCTACATATGTTTCAGAGCAAATTATAAGTTTTCAAGCTCTTGAAGAACCTCTCCCTCAGAGCTGACCCTCCTAACAAGCAAAAGTACTGTGCCTGTTTCTTGTGTGGGTGACTGAGAGATCAGCAGTGGCTCTCAGTCTTTCCTTCCTTAGTAGATGCCGACTGAGCTCCAGGCTGGGATGGTTTAATGTCTTTGACCTGAGGTTCACAGACTGGAGAGGGGAGATCGACTTGTAAATACATCAGTGACAAAGAGACAAAACAGTAGGCAGTTTGTGAGGCTCTCGCCCAGGTAGGGAGAACAAATGCTGGGGGGAGAACAGGTCAAGCAACAGGGCACTTGGGAAAGGTTCCTGGTGGACCCATTTTTTGTTACTATAACAAAATACCTGAGGCAAGTAAAGAAAAAAACATTTATTTAGCTCATAGTTTTGGAGGTTCAAGGGCATTGCACTGGCATCAGTAGTTCTAGTGCTGAACTTCTTGCTGGCAGAGTCCCAAGGTGGCACGAGGCCTCAGATGGTAACAGATGGGGGACATGCATGTTTATGTCTGGTCTCTCTCCCTCTTTGTATAGAGCCATCAGGATTATAGTCAAGGGTTCCCACCTTAATGACCTTATCTACTCCTAACTACTTCCCAAAGGCCCCACCTCTAAACACTGTGGCTGGACTTAGTTTCCACCCTCTTGCTGCTATTGACATGTGACTTTTGGGGTTAAATTCCCACCTGAGCTCAGGGGACAAACCATAGCAATTCTGAAGAGTCCTTATTTCAGAGGAGCCTAGAGAGGAGCCTTGAGATTTAGTCGGGCAAAGTTGGGGGAGTGGGTAAGAATTAAGAATTCAGGCAGAGAGAAGGAAGTAGATTCTGTGTGTGTGTGTGTGTGTGTGTTAAAATAAACATAGGTTTTACCATCTTCACCATTTTTAAATGGACAGTTCATCAGCATTATATTGTTGTGCATCTATTACCCATGTCCATAAATTTGTCTTTTTCCCAAACTTTAACTTTGTCTTTGTGAGTTTCTCTGAGTTGGATGACTAAGTACCTCATATAAGTGGAAGCAGTTTTTGTCTTTCTGTGACTGGCTTATTTCACTCAGCACAGTGTCTTCAGGGTTCATCCATTTGGTAACGTTTCAGAATCTCCTCTCTCTCTCTGGCTGAATCATATCCTGTCAGATGTCTGTACCACATTCTGTCTGTCCAGCCCTCAGTGGACACTTGGGTTGTTGCATCTGATTGTTGTACATAATGCTGTTATGAACACAGATGTGCAAATAACCATTTGAGTTTCTGCTTTCAGTGGGTTCTTCCCTTTTAAGCAGTGTGGGGCTTGTGTGAGCCCTTGCTTGTGCTCCTGGCTATGAGAAAAGGTTAACCTAGGGGTCAAGGCCTTTGTTCTACCCCTTGCTGTTGCAAACCAGAAGGGTTCCTGGAGCAAGTCACCATCTCTGGGCCACAGTATCCTACTTATGAACTAAGGCTGTCCCTTCCACCTCTCAGGTTCTGCCCCTTGGTGACTTTGTGTGAAACATTCTGCACCTAGGCTTGGACCACTCAGCTTCTCCTGGCTTCTCTTTCCTCCCTGGTGGAATGAGAAATGGAGTGAACCATTGATGTGACCGCATTTAACAAGGGCACTGTAGGTTAGGCCAGTGAAAGCTCATGGTGCACAGAAATCTGCCATTTTGCTGAGCCATGAATTTGAACCTCACACGCAGTGAGGCTGATGTGGGAGCAATTCTCTTAGTGGGTAAGCCAGGATGCCCAGCTGCCCCATGTCAACCTTGCTCAGAGGCATGGCTGCCTGCTGCATGCCCTTTCTTAAGAATTGGCTTTTGTGAATTGGTAAGACTACAGCAACTCTGTGCAAAAGAGAGAAGAAGAAGAAACAGAAAGAAAATGCCCCTAAAAGGAGAGCTGACTGTCAGGGCTGGTGGGGAAAGGAGAGCCAAGTGGAGCAGCCTAAGCAACTGACAGTTCCTCCTGAAAGAGTGGCACGCCCCACTGCCTGGTGGCTCTGCCAGGCAAACAACTTCACTGTACATTTGTGACAGAAATAAGACACACCTATTTCTAAGACTTTCATTGAGCATCTCAGCCAGCAGCAAACTCACTCATTGAAAGAGAAAAATGTCCAAGAAGTTTTAGAACATGGCTCAGGAGAAAGGCGGGAGGCTACACAAACATTTCCAGGAAGGAGCAGATGGTGCAGGCACCAGCGTGGTTTACCAAAACCAATCTTGTTTGCAAGTCAGGACTGGTTTGAAAATTTGAAGATGTGTTTTTGTTGGCAAATGGTGCAGTTAATAGGAAGAAGCAGGCCAGCGGCCTGTGTCACGGCTGCCGGGAATCCTCCTAGGCTGAAGGAGCTCCTGTGGGACAGAGACACCAGCCCCAAGCTGTGGGTGTGGCAGAGCAAGGGAGGTGTCCCTCTTCCCAGGCTGAAAGAGGCAAAAAGGAGAAAACTGGAAAAAGGAGAGAAACTGAGCAAAAAAGGGCCTCATGTAGCTGATAAAAATGGACAAAGGAATGACAATAGTGGTGAAGAAATAGAAGTGTCCGGGGGGCCCTTCACAGACGTACAGAAGCGTTCCCTTATACCACATTGCCACCACACTGACATCCAGCAGTAGGCTGCGCTCTTCCCCTCAGTGCCAAGAAGTGCAATTCAATTAGCACCATTCCAGGAAATGTCCAAGAGGTTGCAATAGGAAAGAGGGATTAACAAGGTAGTTAATTTGGGTCAAGACCAAGGAAGGAAAAACAAGAGATAAAAAAACGACAATAAAAATAAGAATAAAAAGGAACATAATGAAAGCAGGCACACACACTATAAAATCATGTCTCCAAATGGCTAAATGCTAATCTATTGGGAAACTAGATGAGATACATTTTTGGAAACCATATCCATGGAAAACTTTTAAGACGCAATAAAAGACTTGACTGGGCTCTTAAAGGCTACCACAACTAGAATCTCCAGGTCCAGGGGCCTTGGAATCAGGGTCAACTTTCGTGTTCAAGAATGCTTTATCCTTTATAGGAAAACAGTGAAGCAGGTGGACTCACTCTTGTGCTTTAGTGTAGCCTTGTTTTTAAAACCAGATGACCACATTGCAAGGTAACACAGTGTTAGCCCTGCCTCACTTATGACCATAGATGCAGATGTCCTAAGTGAAATGTTGTATTTTTAAAAAGAAGAAGAAGGAGGAATGAGGGACAGCTGTCATTCATCGTGTCCTTTAAGGGGGGAAAAACCCCACCACTCACTTCCCACTTTGAGAAATCTTTCCTTTTGTCCCACTTTGCAGTTGTCCCTCTGATCTGGTTTCTACTTTCTTTTTTTCTTTTTTCTGGGTACCAGGGATTGAACTCAGGGGCACTCGACCACTGAGCCACATCCCCAGCTCTATTTTGTATTTTATTTAGAGACAGGGTCTCACTGAGTTGCTTAGGGCCTTGCTAAGTTGCTGAGGCTGGCTTTGAACTTGCAATTCTGCTGTCTCAGCCTCCTGAGCCACTGAGATTACAGGCATGCACTACTGCACCCAGCTGGTTTCTACTTTCTTGTCCATGAAAATGGTACATAGATCTTTTCTGGTGGTCCAGGGTTTTGCTCCAAAGCAATTAGGGGAGCAAACAAAGTTTGCCAAAAACTCAGAATGTGAGGCCAACAGGTAAACCAGAAAGTTCAAAATGTCATAAAGTTTACATACAGAAGGGTTTGCGTTTCTATTTCCAAACTTCTTTCTAAGATGGTAAATGAAAGATGTTAAGTGGGTAAGGAGAGGGTTCATCAGACCTGCTCCCTCCTTCTGGCCATCTGCTTCCTGCCTTGTTCCCATCCATGAGACCTAAAGAGGCCTCTAGGGCAGCATATAAAGTCTCATGGGGGATGGGTAGTTGACATTTCCTAAGGTCTCCAGCATGAATGACCCTCATTCCAACACGGCCTGCTTCCCACCTCCTCTTACAGCAAGAAAGCAGATCCTCAGGATCACCTTCTTCATGGGACCTGTTTTGACCTGCAGAATACAGAATTCTGGAGGCAAGAAACAGCTTGTCTTAAGCAGTTGTTCCGAGTGTGGACAAGGTTGGATCATTGGTTCACACATAATCTCTGTGCCGGTTGCTCAGAAGCACCTCTGGAGTCTGGGTCCTACAACTGCCATTCCTAAGAGACTTTTCTGGAATTTATAGCTCTGAGAGGTGTGGAGATACCTCTTCTCTCTCCTTTGGCTTCTGATACTTGCAGATAATTAATGATTTAACTGCTCTCTTCCCGGGGAAGCTCCTGGTATCTTAGAATGCGTAATGGGCCGGAAAGATGGAACTGGGAGAGGTGGCAGAGAGATGGTGCTATGGACCAGGCAGATTGACAGATACATGTGTGTTCGGGAACAGGGTAGTGAGCAGCCTTAACTTGGAGATGAATTCCATATGTGAGGCAAGATGGAAATGAATATAGTTAATATCCTCCTTTTGTGAGATGAGAAACGTTGGCTGTGTGCCTCTTTTTTTTTTTCACCTCCAAATCAGACTAGGATTTAGCATTTTCCAAATGCTTTGCTCAGAGGCCACACTAAATGCTGGGGATTAGGAGGTGTGTGGGGGAAAAGGACACAAAATGGAAAGACATGGCTCATGTCAAGGGGTGTGAAATAATATGACGTAAGCTTGTGAGAAATGATTCTGGGGGTTCCCAGAGTCCTGCTGCTCTGGTGATCTTTTGTTGCAATTCTTTCTGCAGGTGGTCACAGCTGGACTATCAGTATTACTGTTTGATGTGACCCTGACCAGTCCAATTGTGGGATGGTAAGTCTTATGCAATGAAAGGAAATGCAAATTTGTTGTTTCACTTTCAACAGGATACTAATTTTTGCTCAAATGTGGAAGAAAGAGTATGTATTGGGTGTATGTATCCATCCTAATGTAAGTCTTGTATTAGTAAAAGGTTTTTTTTTGTTAAAGAAGACTCTTACTGATATGTAAACTGACAATCAGAAGAGTGAATATATCACTCTCATACATGACTCAGGACCACATCTAGTTGGTGGGAGCTGGTGCTGGTACCTGGGTGTATCCATGGCATCCTGGTTTCTCTTAGGGCTTCTTGACTGATGCTTTGGGTGCTACCGAAGCCACTAAAACAGCAGTGTTATTTTTAAACGTCAGTAGGAGATTCCTGTGGGAGAAATGTGAGGGGCAGGACTGGTGGCCCTGTGGAATACCATGATGGGTAAGTCTAAGAGATGAACTTGAATCTCGTGTGGCCTTGGCCTGGGAAAGCTTATTCAATAAATAGATATTTACCCATGCCTAATATGTGCCAGGAACTGTTCTTTAAAGTAAGAAATTGCTGCCTCTGTGGTGTCCATAGATGCTCATTCCCCTGCCCAAGGCAAGGCCATATCTAAACCATCCCACACTAACAGAAATGAGTATTTTGGTTCATAGCACTAAGAAAAAGTGATTCCAAACTTCTCTTAGGAGCCACTAATGGGGAGCATTTCCTGCCCCAAGAAGAAAAATGGAAGGAAAAGAATAATTAGGAAATACTCCTGTACCTTTCTCCTCCTCCTCCTCTTATTCTCCCCTCCTCTTTCTTTTAATAACTAAACATTTATTGAGCAAATACTATGCTCCCAACATTTTTACCTTACTATTATTTCTCTTTTACAACACTCCTTCAAATTATCCATATTCAAAAGATGAAGAAACTGAAGTAAAGGATACTATAACCATAAGATGATTAGACCAGGATTCAAACCCAGAGCTCTGTGTGTCCAAAGCCCCATAACCTTCTAGAACTGATTTAAGAAGCACCACAGACCTGCCTTCAGAATAGACAGTGTACCAGGTAGAATCTCATAAGGGAGGGATGAGGGAAGTTGGCTTAGATGTTCCTCTTCCCACCCAAGTGGTGGTGTTACTGTAACAAATACCAGAATCAATCAGCTAACAAGGAGAAAAGGTTTATTTTGGCTCATGGGTTTTGAGGTTTCAGTTCACAGTTGCTTGGGCCCATTGCTTTGGGGCCTATAAAGACACAGGACATCATGGTGGGGAGCATATGTTGGTGGGAGATGCTCATCTCATGGCAACTGGGAAGCAAAGAGAGAAAGAGGAAGGGACTGGAGCCCACAATCCCATTCAAGGACACATCCCTGATGACCTCACTTCCTCCCACTAGGCCCCCTCTCCTACAGGTCCCATCACCTCCCAATAGCACCACAGGCAGCCAGGTCTTCAGCATGTGGGCCCATGGGATCACTCATCCAAACCATAGCAGTGATATGAGATATATAGATAATTTAACAGCAAAACAGAGAGATCATAATTGAAGCCAAGACAGTTCTGATTCTTGCTTAGGGGCTGAATCAGGAAACAAACAACAACAACAAAATGTCCAGGGTAGCATTTTTAGGACAAAAGTCTCATCATCTTTTATTTTAATTTGAATATGATAGCTATGATTCCATCAGTCAATGTATTTATTGTGTGACTGCTGTCTGCAACTTATATGGAAGCCATTAAAAAGCATAAAACATCATCCATCCCTCAAGGGGCATTCAATGAAAAGGAAAATCAAAAGCTTAATTCATGGGATGGTAGAATAACAGCTGTTTGAATGCCCAGTGAGCATGCAGACTGAAGGAGGGAGAGAAGACAGGAGTACTTGGAAGAAAGGCCTGAACTAGCTTGATACTGAACCTCATGCAGAAGAGAGAGGCTTATGTAGACCAAGGGATAGGAGAGGACTTAGCCCCTCTCACCCGGGAAAAAAAGGGCAGGAGGTGCCAATGGTGAGACTCAGTAGTTTAAGCTGGGGCTGTGGGTCAGCCACTAATCCATGCTCCCTCTTTCTTCTTCTGCACTTAACTTGGAAAGAAATGACATTAAATGGTGGGCTGGTTGATGTCCCAAACCCAACATCCAAGGGAGAAAACATTTGCCTCCTGGGACATTCTTAAATCTCCAAATTTCTGTATCCTTAACCTTCATGGTATTAGTCATGGTGGTATTTTGTTTTGATTTTTGGTAATGGAGATTGAACCCACGGGCCTTAACCACTGAACTACATCCCAAGCCCCCCTTTTTTAAATTTTTTTTTTTTATTTTGAGACAGGGTCTCTCTAAGTTGCCCAGGCTATCCTTGAACTTATGATCGCCCTGCCTCAGCCTCCTGAGTTGCTGGGATTATAGGCATGCACCACAGCACCAGGCTTAGTCTAAATTCTTGATTTTCTTACACATAATACTTCAATCAATCATATTTTGTAAAGAATTTCAGAATGAACCAGAAAAACACAGGTGCTGAACTGAGCGTGAGAAACAAGAGTTAGACAGTTCACCAGCGACCAGGAAATGCTAAGTTGGGATATTAAAGAGGCTCTAGTCTGCAAGAGGCTGTGTCTCTAGACTGTTTCACATCCTGTGAACTTGAGGGTATGCCCCAAACAAAATGGAAAGAAATGCTGTGTGTATCCAAATCAAGGAAGCAGCATGTGTGATTATTGCAAAAGGAACCTTGACTTTGGAATTTCCTGATTTTTTTTTTTTTAAAACTCTTGAGGGTAAGAATGGTGTGTTTTCAGCCTCAAAGAATTTTCCTACCACAAAGTGAACCACCAGAAGGGGCGTGTCAGACTGTAATTCACATTTCTGCCATGCACAGAGCTAGTTGTATTGTGTCTGCACTGGGCGTGTTCAGGTGTGGTTAAGTGACCATCTCTCAGGTCCTTGGAGGGGTGGGCTGATCATTGTGGTGTGGGAGTTTAGACCCATCAGAAGTCACACAAGGCAGGGGCGACAGGCCAATTTTTTTTTTTAAACCTACTGCATTTGCCTATACAGTTATAGTTTCTTGTGTTTTGCTTTTCAAATTTTGACTTAGTCATCGACATTTAGAAATTGGGTGATTTTCTTTTACCAGTTCAGCCTTCCAGATTCTTTTGAAAATGTGGAACAGCTGTTAGTTAATGTGGGCCTGCTCTTGCTCACAGGAGCATTGCTGGAGTAGACAGAGCTGCCCTTGCATGTGGCCAGGTGCTCTCCAGTTCTGCACAGCCTTCACCACCCCTGGGGGCCAAGGACCTGCTCCAGCTGACATCCTGTATCCAGTCATTTGGATGTTCATTCATGCCACACAACTGCAGGGCTGGGCTCTGAGGCTACAGAGGTAAACTTAATCCCTGACTCTGGCAAGGGTCCCACAATGTCATTATCCACTTTCTTGGGTGGATAGCAGCTTAGTTGCACAAAATAGGCCATCTAAAGTCGAGTTTCTCACTCTGTAGACCACTGGTATTTGAGGCTAGATGATTCTTTGTTGTGGGGACGCTGTCCTGTGCCTTATAGGATGTCTAGCAGTGAAGCTGAACCCCAACCCACTAAATGCTAATAATACCCCCTCAGTCGTAATGGAAAATGTCTAGACATTGTGACATGCTCCCTGGGGAAGTAAAATCACCCCCCTTGGGAATCGTTGATCTCAAGATTCATGGAAATGAGTGGGGAAAATGCCATTTGAAATTTCAGCAAATTGCAAAATTTGCACATCTCTTAATTAGAGATTTGGATCAGCTCAGGGGTCAAGTCCTTAGTAGCACCTCTCGCCCACTCTGGGTCCGGGTCTGGCTCTGGCTCTGGAAGCACTGGTGGTGCTGAATGACAGCTAGGTGTGCACACTTGTCCTGCCCATAAGGCTGCAAGCAACTGTAGCAGAGAAGGGCTGGTTTTCATGTACCTTTATATCTCTAGTCTAGCACCAAGTACATGCTGAATGAACACATATTGTATCCAAGAACAGTTTCCAACCTAAGTAACCCATGTGGGTCAATTTTCAATCTTTAATTAAAAGCAACTGTTCTTGTCCAGCCATTTATCATGTTTTTAATTATAAAAACAATCTAGTTCAAGCTCAGTAATTTAAATATCGAGATTATACTTAATCATTTGGTTTTTAATTAACAGTTTTATGGCATATATCAATACTGATTTCCTCTATTCTAAACTTTCAGCAAAAGAGGTTCTCACATACAAGAGGGAAATGTTCTGACGTGGGAGCAGAATCCCTGTGAAGTAGAATTAGTTGTGGAGACTCTTCTCTAAACCCCCTTTTCTAGACCAGGAAAGTCACCCTTGTCTTTGGAATGGTTTAGGTACAAGGCAAGAATGGAAATGCCCAGTGTTTATTCTAAGGATTCCACAATCAACTTTTCTCCTTTTTCCCCACTCCTCCTCCCATTATTCATTGAACCTGCGTGCCAGTCATGAAGATTGCTCAAACTCCATCCTAAAGCAAACCTCACCAACACTAAGCATCTTTTAAAAATAATCTTAAATCATCTTAGAGTTAAGATATCCTATCCCTTTGATTTCAGGGGACCTCTTTTTCATAGGAAGAATGAGTTTAGGGGCAAGAAGGGCTTCCCCAACACATACCAAAATGCCATTAGAATCATGGTGTCTGACATTTATTAATTTTCCATTTGAATTAGAATTTGAGGGCTGGGGTTGTAGCTCAGTGGTAGAGAGCTTGCCTGGCACATGTGAGGCACTGGGTTTGATCCCCAGCACCACATAAAACTAAATAAACAAAATAAAGGTACATAAAAAAACAATTTAAAACCTTCTCTTTAAAAATGCTAAGTAGAGCTTTCTCAATCATTTTTGTTCATTACCTAATCTCAAGTTTTCTCTAATTTATCAGATTATAAACTGTCACTCACTGAGTCCCGGAGGGAATGGGACATTAGTCAGATACATTTTAGTAAGGAAGAGAGAAAAAGCAAAGTAGTTTGGAATACAAATGGGATTTGGGAGAACCAGTATAATTCAATCATTTGCTGAATAAATATTTATTGGGTACCACATTAGGTGCTGGGCCTGCAGCCAAGCAAACGATACGGTACGGTCTCCATCCAATCTGTTGGGTTCAATAGGAATCAACTGAATTACCACAATATAGACGTAAAATTGAGATGAGGCCCTTGGTACCCCACAGGAGAAGAGAGAAGGGCTGGGGAGGGGCTGAAATAGCCCCCTGAAAGAGCAGCTCATGGTGGCTATTCCTGGCCACATGTCAGATGTTTATGCCTTAGCTACATGAAGTGTGTTCGTTTCAGGAATGACGAGGATTATAAAATTTGCAAACAGTTCAGTCAAGCTCTGACTTAAATAGTTGTAATGCTGTTAAGAATCCAGGACCCCGTGTCCACTTCTCCTGCCGTTTAGAAAGCAACATCAAAGCTGGCCTCCCTGGCTCGCTTCACAGTGACGGAAGCGAGGTTGTTTTCATTTTTGCACTTGCTAAGCTCCTTGGGTGTTTTGTAAAGTAACTCTGCCAAAGGGTTGAAATGGGGTTGTTACACTCCAGCATTGTTCTCGGGCTGTAGGAGGACAGGTGGCAGAGGGCCAGCCTGTCCCGGTCTTCTCCCTGGTGATTAGGAGGATTAGTGGGAAGTGTATAAAACACTGAGCCCCCAGTTACATGTGCAGAAATAAAAGCCATCCAAACCCATGCAGGCTGCACACAGCCTTCGCATCCGATTGCAGGGACTCTCTACTTGCCTGGGGACTTGAGAGGCTGCAGGCCATCCTAAGGGGCTACTGAGGAGAAACAGAAGATCTGCTTCAAAGGAAAAGCCTGGTCTTTGGAAGGAAAGCCTGCGTGGGCTGAGAACAGCTTCCACTTTTTCCAAAGAGAAAAGACCACAGAGCTCCCCGCCCCAGTTTCTGGGGTCCTGAACTAGACAAGGGACAAGCAGGGCCCCAACTTCACATGTGGGTTGTGTTTCAAAATAGGGTCTTTCCCAGAAGTAACCTATAAATGATGTCTGTAGATGAGTGAAGTCCTCAGAGGAGTATTTGATTCATAACATAGATACTGATTCCAGGCACACAATCGTGAGTTCAATGGAATTGATGGATTCTCAGTATTTATAATATGATTTCAGTAGCAAGAAGTAATTACATTCCCACTTGGAGCTTAAGATAACTCAGTGCTCATCTCCCCTGCCCCCCCCATCTCCATTGTCCCTCTGTTGTTCCAGTGGGAAGCACCCTTGTACCCCTGCCTCAGTGACTGGCTTCTTAACCCGCATGCACTCTGCCCTTGTTGAGAGAGGGGGCCCTGGTGGCTTGGGGGATCTTCCCAATCTCCAGGGTGACGAAGGAATATATTTATTATCTCTTGGTTCAGAAAGTAGGACTTAGACTCACAGGTGAGGTTATAAGATGCAGCTGTGTTCAAGTGTGAGGCGGAGTCATGTCTCAATCAGTCCCCAGAGCCAACTTAGTGCCTCCCTAGAGACACTCTTGTTCGGTGGGTGTCAGAGCTCCTCGCCAGTGTGACAGGCTGGCTTACACAATGGGACATGTCCATCACTAGACATCTTCAGTTTGGGTGGCCGGCCTGCTGTGAGATCCACGGAAAGGGATTGCTGTTCTGGGAACAGAATTGATTAGGAAAATTCTCTTATTATTCTCATAATTTATTGATTGTCCATGGTTGCCAAGCACAGCGGTGATTGCTTCAGGCATATTATTTCTAAGCCTCACAGAAGCTTTTAGAAATGGTCAGCCTCTGTGGTCCATATGGAAAAACTGATGCTTAATAAGACGACATAGATAATAAATACCTGAGCCAAAACTTGAACTCAAGTCAGCCTGACCCTAAGTTGACTGTGTTTACATTCTCACCCATAGTCAACTCACTCTTGCATTAGAAGTGCAAAATTGTGCAAGTTACCTTGATATCAGAGTCACCCACATAGGTGACATTTTTTACTGGAAATATACTGTGAGCAGCCTGCATGTGTTTTTGATATATTCAGCGTCCCAAACATGTTAGAAATATGAAGGTGTTGGGCTGGGGTTGTGGCTCAGCGATGGAGCGCTCGCCTTGCATGTGCGAGACCCTGGGTTCGATCCTCAGCACCACATTAAAATAAATAAGTGAAATAAAGGTATTGTGTCCAACTACAACTAAAATATAAATATTAAAAAAGAAATATGAAGGTGTTGTCATCTGTGTGTGTGTGTGTGTGTGTGTGTGTGTGAGTGTGTTGTGTATGAGCACACAAGAGGACTGGTATGTGGATAGAGATGAAGGGAAGAAAAGCACCTCTTTGAAAGGGTGGTTGGCTCCTCTGTAGAGTCTTTCACCCTCAGGGACCGACTATCATAATCCCTTGGTGATGGCCCCACCCAGTGCCCAGAATGACAGGGGATTCAGACAGACACCAGATTGTCTACTGAGAAGTTTAAAATAGAAAATGGAGAGACCTTTGGAAGTATTAAATTTTAGGCATGTTAAAATATTCAACTGTTTTTTTTTTCCCTCACTGTCTTTCATCCTCACACTACTTCATTTTCAAATCACTGAGCATATTTCTTTCTGGTGGAAAATTCATGATTCCCCATTTGTATGTTCACCTCTCAATGTTCTGTTAGTCTAAATGAAATGCAAAGATTCACAGTGTATCCCCTTACTGATAATCAGACTATGGACCCCTGCATCATTTCATAGCCATCCGCCCTCTTTAGCAAAAAGCCCCTGAGGGCTCTGTGGGAAGCCTTTCTATCTAGTGTGCTTCCTCCAGGGAGCCCGAACTGGTCAGGAGGAGCAGAACACACCATTGCCTTCCCCGAGGGAAGGTGTTAAAGCTAGTCTTCCAGCCCCCTCACCTCCCTCACTGTATCGGAGGTTTGCCCCTGAGTGGCAGATAGGTCCTGGACTCCAGCTAGAAGCAGGGCAGTCTGGGCTGGTATGAGAATTGCACTCACAGACCGAAGGAGGTGTCCCCTGTCCTGTTCTATGTGGGTGCCAGGCAGCTTGGGTGATCTGCAAGGAGTGAGAAGCTAACCTCATGCTGTTGTTTGCAGCCTCCTGCTTGGTGGACTTGGAGAGGCCTTGCTTGTTTTCTCAGAGCGGAAAGGTTCCTGATAAAGATGGGCAGGAAAAGAAGACTCACGGTTTACCAGCTGGAAATCACAGAGCCCTGACCTCGTCGCATCCTGTTGAGAGGGTCAGAACGAAGAACACAAGGACAGTGACACCACACCAGGGCTCCAGGTGGGCAGAGCTTGTGCCCTGCCCAAGCTGAATGTTTGGGTGGTGGAAAATTCAAAGGCCCCACCACTTCTCATTGCCTCAACGAGAACTATCTAGAGCCCGCCAGGCTGCATCAGAGAAACGGTCTTTGTTATGTCTTCCCATTTTGAGACTCTCTCTTGACTGTGCTGTACCCAGTTCTGCAGAAACAGGAGGAACAGGATTTCACCATGATGGCTCCTCTCACCTTGGCCGACCTGCAGCTTTCAGTTTGAGGTCATGGGCCCACGGTTATTTTGTGGTATTTTTTTTTTTTTTGTATGTGTGTGTGTATGTTGTTTTGTGTTTTTACACTTTGGAAATGTCCATTCCTTGTGCTGGAGCCCACACCCACCCAGGTAGAAGTGCAGAGAGACGTGCTCCCTCCTAAGAGCCTCCACTGGGGGCAGGGCAAACATGTGGGTTATCTGGGGTCGGGCCAAGTAGGAAGCCAAAAGGACACTTTAAATCTAGAATGAGTGATGACCTTTTGTGGTTGATGTTTCTATTTATTTCCTGCTTCTAAATTGCTCTTGATGCTTGTAAACTCGTCAGGATGTGTGTTGTGTTGACTTCTGCATACTCTTTTTTGCCCAATGTTGGGTTAAGCTGGTAACTAGGTGACTAGCCAAGGGAAGGGGGTTTAAGTACTGGTGGATGCCTTTCCTGGCAGGTGAAACAAACGAACAATATAGAACATCTGTTTACATGTGCACACTGTTTCAAGTCATCGAATACTGAAGTATGTTTTTCAGACCAGATTAAAGATTGTATTAAAACTATACCTTGTGTCTAGAAAAGAAACAAATTTACATGAAATGATCACTTGATTCTGAAGCCACTAAGAAGGTTTAAAAAAATAACGAAGTTTTTTTTTTTTTTTAAATAATAAGTTTTCAAAATAATTTACTGCTCTGTCAGAGGGTTTGGGTCATTTTTAGATGACCAGGGAGTATTATTCAGCAGGAGGGCAGGCCTGTGGTGTTGGATACCCACATCATTGATGGAGAACCCCGCCCTTTTCAAAACACCAGGGAGCTGTGCCTTGTTCAAGCTTGGCCCTGTGAAGAATGAAGTCAACTCCATCAGTGGCCATTATTTCTGCATGTTTTCTCCAACTTGTTGGAAAAAGAAAAAGATAATGAAACAAATAGGAATGGATTTGTGTATTTGGAACTTGAGTACCTTAGAATCGGTTCCTTGTCTTTTCCTTGTCTTTGCTTCTCATTTCAGGTTAAAATGTTCAGAATGACCTTTTCGTATATTGGTTTGCAGTTTGCTTTTGTTCTTTATCTGGGATGTCAAACTTTCTATAGACTGAGACTCGAATAGGAAATCTGGCTGTAGAATTTTCTTTATTCTTTGGCTCCCACAAGACTCTATACCACTGAGACCAGCTCTTTTCTCCTTGTAGAAAGTGGCGTCTATCCAAATGTCATCTTTTCAAGTGCCATTTAAGCAAATGGGGATTCTTCAGGCAAGAAAGAACCACACAGTTAGCAAGTCCAGTCCCATTTCTAGGAGAACGGACCACACATTTTTTTTTTTCTGAAAAGTTTTAGACTCTTTTTGTTTTAAGGATCTCTAGCAAGAATGTTTTTGGCTTTGTACTTTTTAAATTTATTTACTATATTTCAGAGTCATATTGTTTTTAAAACCTCAGGTATTTTCTTTGTCACCAGCAAGAGGCCGAGGACAAGGTGTTTTCTTCAGTATGTCCTCCTGTCTTCTCCAGTTTCCTTCTGTTTTTCCTTCTGTTTCCCCATGGCTGGGCTTTTTTCTTCAAGCTGTAAGTAGTATCTTTCACACCCAAGTCCACATCTCAAATCTGAATGCAGGGTGAGCCCAGCAGTCTGTGAGACTAGGGCCTTCCCAGATCACTAGAGTCCCCCCAGCTCACATCTGCCATGGTTCTCTGGGCCTAGGGACCCCACAGGGAATCTCCAGGTAACCCCACACATCCTCATGTCCTGTTTGGCCCCTGAATCTCTTGGTCCTTGATGGCCCCAAATCAAAGCTGGAGGGTTTTGTTTTGTTTATTTGTTGTTTTAAATAAAGAATGTTTTCTATGTGGTTGTCTATTATTACTAATCAATCTGCTGAGGAGATTTAAAAAATTAAACCATTTATTTTCTTGGTAATTTTCCTTTCTTTTTCTTCTCTTCATCTCTGGCAGGGGGTTATTGCAGAAAACGTTATTGGTATCCCTGGGGGAGGGAAGTATCGTAAACACAAGCCCAGGCTCCTCCTTCTACCACACTTGAGCCTCCTCTCTCCCAGGGGGAAAAGGCACACCCAGCCCCTTTTAGACCTGGACTGTCAACTGTAGTCCTGGTAGCCCCTTGAGGTCATTGAGCTCTGAATCAAATCATGGCTGGGCCAAATTCAGGTCTGCCATTAGGTGTGGGAAAACACTCATATTGAAAAAATATCTTTGATCTATCCAATATAAATTAAAAACACATGAGATATATAATCTCAAATTTTCTTCTTTTCACATTTTAAAAATGTGGCTGCTAGAAAGTATTTGCAGACATGAGGATGTGTGGGGTTACCTGGAGATTCCTTGTGGGGTCCCTAGATCTGTCAGTCGGTGCTATTTCAGAGTAGTTCGTCTATCTCTCTGGGCCCAGGCAGCAGCAAAAGAGAAGGGTGCTGGCAGCAGCTGCTGGGGTACCAGCCTGATAATAATGCCTAAGACTACTGGCTCTTGATGCTTATTATATACCCAGCGCTGTGCTAGATACTCGTGTCTTTGTTTCCTGTGGCAGTGCAGGAAGCATCCTCTGTATTCTTCAAGAAGATCAGAGAAATTCAGTAACATTTCCAGGGCCACCCAACTGGGACTCAAAGCCTGGCTTTTTGAAGCCTCTTCCTGCAGTATTCACATTAGAAACTTCTTAAAATAAAGAAATGAAGCCAGTTATGGTGGCACAAACCTGTAATCCCAGCAACTCAGGAGGTAGAGGCAGGAGGATCTGGAGTTCAAAGCCAGCCCCAGCAATTTAGTGAGGCCCTAAGCAACTCAGTGAGACCCTATCCCTAAATAAAATATAAAAGGGCTGGGGATGTGGCACAGTGGTTAAGCACTGCTAGGTTCAATCCCTGGTACCAAAAAAGGAGAAATGCAGCCCCCCCACCCATGTTTTATAGAGGGTTATCAGTTCTTCAGGAAGTGCTGAGATGTGGATTCCTAACATCTCTGAAACCATGGAGACTTTCTTCCTGAAAGCCAGGTTATCTCCCTTTGCCCAAGGTTAGGGTTTGTGGCCTGTGTTCCCATCCCCACTGCATTTTTAGAGTGTTCTGATCTTCCCCAGCCTCCTGTGTTGGCTTGTCTGAGATCTCCCTTGGATGGTGCTGGAGCAACCAGGAGCACTTTGGGAATTGCCCTCCTCTCTCCTGAACCATCTGAAGTGTTGCCAGAGCAATCAGCTGCTGATTACTGAATTCTCAGGCACATTTCTCAGAGGTTGGCATGGTCAGATGAGGCTGAGGGGTTTGAAGGTTGAAGGAGCAGTGGCCTCCAGATCCTGGAACTTGGTGTCAGCAGAGGACACCCTTCTCTTTACTGGGTCTGCAGGTCTGACGAAGGAGGTATGTCCCAGATCTGCCTGAAAATGAAAGTAGGTGAGTGGTCAGTAATGTTTGAGCCAAGTATCAAAGAATATGGGGTCAGCTAAAGTTTGGTGGGGTTTTTTTTGGGGTGGCTTCATGGTCCTTGGGTTCTTGTTTTGCAAGTCAAAGGGGTGAGGCTCTTGACCTTTTCCCAGCCCTATTTAGCATCCCTGCTTTAGCCTCTGTCCTCTAAACCCAGCCAGGGGGAGACACCACCACCAGTGGTCCTGTGTCATTCACGTTCCTTTCTTTTGAATCCGGTGACTCTGTGACTTGTCTGTCGCCAGTTGGATATGGTGGAAATAGTGGTATGTGACATCCAGGGCCAGGTCAAAAGCAGCCTTGAAGTGTCTGCCTTGGCCTCTGGGAGCTGAGAGCCACCTGAGTAGAGCAGCCAGACACAGATGCTCCAGGCAACAGACTCTGAGCCATCTTGCATCCTCTAGACCAGCCTGTCTATCAGTTGAACACCACCAAGTGATCCCAGTCACTGCCATGTGGGGCAGAGGGATCACCCAGCTAAGCAGTAACTGAAGGAATCCCTGAGCATAAAATTGTGAGATATGGTAAAATTGTCCTTAAGCCCCAAAGATTTGGGACAGGGTATTATACAGCAGTCAAAAATAGTGAGCCTGCTATGACAGCACCTGCTTACAGTCCCAGCTACTGGGGAGGTTGAGGTGGGAGGATCACTTGAACCCATGAGTTCAAAACCAGCCTGGGCAACATAGTGAGACCCTGTCTCACAACAGAGGAAAGAGAAAATAAGAGAGAAAAAGAAAAAAAACAAAAACAAAAACAGCCCTTTCTCCTCTCTGGAAGATGGCAGGATAAATAAGTGTGCTCCAAGGCCCTCTAGGTTCTTCTCTGCTCAGGTGGGTCTTGAACATACTCCCATTCACTGGTCTCTGCTCTAGTGATCTCCAGCCCAGATGCAGCACCTAGAAGAGAACCCCCACAGACTGCAGGGCTGGCCCAGACTCCCATTGCAGAGCAGGTCTGCAGTTCTACCTTTGGATCAAAATACCTCATCTGCTCATTCATTCACAAGATACTGAGACCTAGTCTCTGTTTTAGGATCTGGGGACACAACCATTGAGTCTCTTGGAGCTTCCATTCTAGTGGTGGAGACAGACAATGAAAAGGAAACAATTTTATTTCCTAATAGCATTTCAGAGCCAGTGAAATGCTATTAGGAAATAAAATGGAGAAAGGAAGCTGAGACAGACTCTCCCAAGGATCTGCCAAAGGTGAGGAATTCCTCTTTCAAAATATCCAGCCACATACACAATATAGCATGTAGTTCGGGGGGTGGGGGTCTAATGGGTTCCAGGTTCAGAATGAAAGAGAACTGCTTTAGTGGACCCAGGAAGCCAAGGATCCCCACAGGTGGAATTGCCAGCCCCTTCCCTACTGGTTCTGGGAGGAGCCAATGGGTAACAAATTTTGGCCAGATGCAGACCATTGACTGGCCACAGGAGGCTTGGGCCCTGCCTGTGGGTTGCTCTCATTCTGGCAAAGGAGAGTTACTGAGCAGACTCGAAGTGGACTGACTTAATCACGTAGCCTGCTGTGTGGTCCATCACTGGCCAACATTGCATTGCTCACAAGGCTTCCCCCTGCTGCCTCCCACTCCTCACAAGAAGCCTCTGATGCAAGAATCGTCCTTAGCCTCATTTTTCAGAAGAGATGGCACACAGGAGGTAAGTAACTTCCCCCAGGGTCCTTGGCAAGTTTTGAGGATTTGGAGGGTCCTGACTGACCATGCAGGCCCCCTGCCTCTTAACCCCCATAGCATTCTGTCCTCCCTTTGAGAGGAGCTGGCAGTGGGGGCATCTTCAGGGAATGAGGCTGCAAGAGAGGTGGGGCAGGTGACACTGTGAATTGACTGCAGGGATGGAGAAAGGACCTTTGTGAGCACTTGTCATGTGCCAGACCCTGGCAGGAACCTCCTCTGTGATACGTCCCTGCCCTTTCAGGCCATACCAGGACTCCAAGCCCCAGACAGGACAGGAAACCTTTCCAAGGCCACCCAGTACTAAGCCAAGATTCCAAAGTCATTTTCAAACCCAGTTTGCCCTGGCGCCCTTCTCATGTGCTGGTTCATTTCTGGGCTCCTCAAGTCACTGGGCTCAAAAAAAAAAAAAAACAGGGGAGCAATCTGCT